TGGTGCTACAGCACGCGCTAGTGGATTCAACACATTTTCCATCAAGTGATGGTTCACATAATTGTCCATGGACAGTTTCATTCCCTCTGTGATAAGTTGGGCCAAGAAGTTGGGGTTTTGAATGATTATCATGGTGTTCACCCTATTTATGTCCATCGTAAAGAAGACAACTTGATCTTTCAACCCGTATTCCATCCAGGATTGTGTTTGATAGAGGGGGTGAACTGGTTGTGTTGTCACCACCATAGGGTGTTGTGCAACTTGTTGGGGAATGTTGGAGAAGTTGTTCATGTTTGGTCGAGTGGGGTTGAGAGGATGAGAAGTATATTGTGGGTATTTCCTTTTGTTCAAGGGGATTAGTGGTCTCAGCATTGTTGCAAACACTAAGAGATATATTAGTAGAGATGGAGTGAGTTTAGGTGAGATGATTGAAGATCTATAGAGTGAGATTTATAATGACTATTATTGGTCTAATTAGTTGTAGGGTTACTAGCCGGAAGATTTGGAAAAAGATTGTTTCCGTTCATTTGCATGTCCACTTGTCCATCGACAATTGCCACTTGGCTACACTCTTCCGCCATTGGTAAGTTGTTTCTTAGGGAGGACGGCTGAGTGGTGGCCAAGAAATGTTTGTATTTTTCTTTTTTAGTAAGGTTTTTTTAGGTATCGTGCTTTTGTAAAAAACTGTGGGAAGTGGAGGGCTTCTGGAACACGCTGGAGACACGTGTCCGCTTTTTGTTGGGGAGCTCCTTCGTCTGTATCGAAGCAGATGAGGCATGCAAAGAGGCTTCCTGACCAGCCGCCTTCTCATGGGGCTTACCAAGATCGGAAGACGAGTGGACTTCCACATTATCGAAAAGGATAGAAAACTTGTTAAGCATTCCAGTGGAGTGATTTTTGGTGATTTTAACACTTTTGTTTAATTTTTTAACGAGGTCCTGTTACCAATGGAGCTGGGATTTGCTCGCTCTCATAATGCCTTTTAGGAGTTAGATCTTTAAATGAAACGGGACTATTAGATTGAAAAGCTAGTTTCTGTAGGATTTACAAGAAACAGTAAAGAGAACGTTTGGGAATTTTCTGTATATTGATCTCATCCTCTAAACATGTATATATACAGCTACAAGGAAAACCAAAGAACATTCTATTCCTAACAAACTATACAGGTGTCCTGCTCCTATTTGCTAAGTATATAACAAACTTTTATTCTTCACAATAACTGAGAAAGGGTAAAATAGGTAATCTAAGTGACATAATTCTAGATATCCAAAATATATACATGGGCTGAGGAGATACATTGACTTCATTCCTTTGGGCCTATAATGTCTTCTGTTGTCAAAGAGTGCCTGAGGCCCAATTCGCTTAGGCCCATTTTTTCCTTGGTAGTACCATTCGTGTGCTTTGAAATACTTCGACGATTCCTAGGGTTCTCTGTTTTCACCTTCGTCTTCATTTCTGCATTTCTCTATCGAAGGTATCTTTGAAATCTTAACATCCCCTCTCAAGTTGGAGGGGAACAAGGTGAGCCCCAACTTGCGCATATTGTGAAGATGAGAAGGGCCGGCTAGGGGCTTAGTAAATATGTCAGCTAACTGGTCTCTAGAAGGAACGAAAGACAATGAAATCAGACCGGCGAGATACTGTTAACGAACAAAGTGGCAGTCAAGCTCGACATGTTTCGTCCGCTCGTGAAATACAGGGTTACGAGCGATATGGATAGCAGCTTGGCTATCGGAGTGAATAGGTACCGGCAAAGGTGGAGGGATCGATAGATCGGTGAGTAAACGGGTAAGCCAAGTTAGTTCTGCAACCAGCCTTCTCATTGAACGGTATTCTGCCTCTGCGGATGATAAAGATACTGAACTTTGTTTCTTTAATTTCCAGGAGATAGGAGATCCACCTAAGCTGATAAAGCAGCCACTGACGGACCGGCGAGAGTCACGACAAAACGCCCAGTCAGCATCAGCATCACAGAAGGTGGCCAAAGATAAACAAGGTGAAGCAGTAAAGAAAAGGCCATAGCTTGGAAATCTCTTCAGGTAACGAATCACTCTTAAACCAGCACTGTAGTGATCAGTGGTAGGACTATGCATAAACTGACTGAGTGTTAAGACAGCAAATGATAGGTCAGGTCTAGTGTGAGTTAAGTAATTGATCTTTCCAATAAGATGTCGAAAGATGGTGGGATCTAACAGGGGTGTTCCTGAATCGGCAGAGAGCTTGATGAAAGGATCCAGGGGAGAAGATACTGCAGAGAGGTGAGAAACATCAAACTCCTCCAAAAGCTCGAAGGTATACTTCCGCTGACTGATGATCATGCCTTGTTCCTCCCTTAGCACTTCCAAACCCAGAAAATAATGTAGAAGCCCTAGATCTTTGATTTTGAACTCTTTATGCAAAAAATCTTTTAAGACTTGAATTTCATCAGTAGCATTCCCTGTGGACAAAATGTCATCAACATAGACAGCAACAATTGAAATGAATTCACCTGATTGTTTAAAAAATAGTGAATAATCATTTAGGGAAGCCACATATCCTTTGGAATTCAAAGCTCCTGCAAATCTGGCATACCACTGTCGGGAGGCTTGCTTAAGCCCATAAAGTGATTTTCTCAATTTACATACCATATTAGGTTGAGGAGGATCTAAACCATTAGGAAATTTCATGTATACTTCTTCTTGCAAATCTCCTTGCAAGAAAGCATTGTTGACATCAAATTGATAGACATCCCAAACCTTCTTAGTAGCAATGGCTAGTAGGCACCTAATTGTTGTCATTTTTACCACCGGGGAAAAAGTTTTATTATAATCAATCCCTTCTTTCTGTATGTCCCCTCTTACAACCAGTCTGGCCTTTAATCTTTCAATGGTCCCATTTGCATGTTGCTTAACCTTGTAAACCCATTTACAAGGTAAAGCCTTTCTGCCCTTGGGCAGAACTACAACATCCCAAGTATGATTAGATTGTAAAGCATCAATTTCATCTTGCATGGCCTTCTGCCAACCTGCATGTCTACAGGCTTTATGAAAACTGTTAGGTTCTGAAATGGTGGAAGTGGATTGTAGAGTAATTTGACTGGATTTTGAGAGATTGGCAAAAGAAAAACTAGAAGGACTACTAGGAGAAGCAAAACATGAATCTGTAACATTGCTAAGATAAATTGTGTTACAAATATAATCCTGGAGATGTGATGGCAAAGTCCCAATATTAGTTCTGCTAGATCTTCTAACAGGAACTGGTGATTGTGACACAATAGGTTCAGAAGGAAGAGGTGATTGTTCTGGTTGAATGTCCAAACCAGGTGAATGAATAGGAATATTTGATGAGGGATTAGGATGAGGATGGGCAGAAGAGTTAGAGTCTACAGGTTCTGGATGATCCTGTAGTGGAATAGAAGAGTAGTCGATAAGGTCAGGAGTGAGAAAAATAGAATTATCTGGGGAAGAGTGTGAAAAAGGAAAATGATTTTCAACAAAGCGAACATCTCTAGAAACAAATACCTTCTTAGAATCTAAATCAAGCAATTTGTACCCCTTTTGATTGCTAGGATAACCTATAAATACACATTTGTGAGCTCTTGGATCAAACTTATTTCTACCATGGACTAGAGTATTTGCATAACACAAACAACCAAAGCATCTGAGAAATTGATAAGAGGGTGGTTTGCCAAACAAAACCTCATAAGGTGTTTTTCCTTTAATAGCTCTAGATGGTAAACTGTTTATCAAGAAAGTAGCTGTCAAAATACATTCACCCCAGTAGAGTAGGGGTACCTTTGAATGAAACAGTAAGGCCCTTGCAATTTCCAGTAGATGTCTGTATTTTCTTTCAGCTACCCCATTCTGTTATGGGGTAGCCACACAAGAGGTCTGATGAATAATTCCTTGTGAGCTCAAAAACTTTGAGGCTGCTTCACTTTTCCCTAACTCTGTGGCATTATCAAATCTAATCACCTTTACTTTGGTATTAAATTGTCTTTCTACCATGCATAAGAAACTCTGGATCACAGAGAAAGCATTGCATTTAGTACTTAACAGATAAGTCCATGTAGCTCTGCTGTAATCATCCACTATAGTCAAAAAATACCTATAACTGTTATAAGTAGACACCTTGTATGGTCCCCAAGTGTCAATGTGAATAAGTTCAAAACAACTCTTGGTAGTGATTTGGCTAGTAGAGAAAGGTAATCTAGACTGTCTAGCTTTAGGGCAAACATCACAATAACAATCAGAATGTTGAGGAACAGATAAGAAACTGATATTCTTCATTGATGCATAGGGTAAATGCCCTAATCTTACATGTCATAACCTTACATCAGAAGAAACATTGGAACAAACTGGAAAAGGAACTGAAACTGAATCAGAAAAACAATCAGAACTACTGATTCTACTACAGATTTTAGACTCTAAAGAAGTATTTTGACTTGCACTAGGCTTCTTAGGAATGGGCTGCAATAAATAGAGACCTTCTCTTGCTTCACCAAAAGCTTGAGGCCTCTTCATTGAATGGCCCTGCAGCATACAATTGTTAGAATTGAAAAGAACTGTATAATTGAATTGACTACTGAATTTATGAACAGATAAGAGATTATATTTGAAACTTGGCACATACAAGACATTATGTATTGTCAAGTCAGAAAATATTTGAACACTTCCTATGTGGGTAACAGTTATGAAATGTGAATTAGGAAGGTTTATGTTGATAGGAATTCTAAGAGTAGAAAGAGAGATAAATGATTCGGAATTGAAACACATATGCTCAGAAGCCCCTGAATCTATGATCCAAGTTCCAAAATTAAAAACAGAAAAACAAGTCCCAAAATACTTCAAAATAGTACCAGCCACTGCATTGGCATTGATCTCAGGACCTGCAATTTTTGTTGTTGATTCTGGCAGTTTCATCTGCTTCATAACTTGAATGAACTGTCCAAATCGTTCCTTGCTCATGTGCAGACTGGCTTGATCCATGTAGTAGTTAGGATCTTCCTCCTCCATGATAGCTCAATTTCCTCTCACTGGTGTTGAGTAGGTTTTGTCATTTGTGAAATTGAAATCCTCAGGAAAACCTATCAATCTGTAGCAATCATCTATGACATGACCTATTTTACCACAATGAGCACAAGAAACATTAGGGTTGTATTTCTTCTTTCCTTTGAACCTTGCATTCTGTCTTGGATATCTAGGAGCCTGCTGAGCCTGTTGGTAGTTGTTCATCCTAGGATAGCCCATGTTTGGCTTAGGTCCAGATCCTGATGCACCTGGGCTGAATTTCTGAACCTGCTTACCATTTTTGTTTTGATTTACATTGTTATTAACCATGAAAGATGAAGAATCAGTAGGAATGATAGGACTCATGTATGTTTCCTTTTGGTTTTCATCCTGTAAGATCAAGGAATAAGCAACATTTATGTTAGGTAGTGGATTCATCATAAGAATATTACCCCTTGCTTGAGCATATGTGTCATTAAGACCCATAAGAAATTGTATAAGCATCTCAGCCTCCACAGATTTCTCCAATTTCTGTTTTCCCTCACAGATACACACACAAGTGCACTTATCTTGTGAATCTAGAGAAACTAATTCATCCCAAAGCCTCTTGAGTTTAGTAAAGTATCCTGCAATATTGTTAGTTCCTTGTACCAACCTGTTAAGTTCCTTTTTCAAGTGGAAAAGTTTAGCACCATTTGATTGACCAAATTTGTGCTCTAGACTCATCCAGAGTTCTTTAGCAGTTCTAGAGGAGAAAAGGACCAAAATTGTCCCTTATCTTTGCCTTAAAACTCAAAATGATCCTTACCTTTTCATATGGAGCACTAATGATCCTTCTTCTTTGTAAAAATGGTACAACTTTAGTCTTTAAAGTATTTTCCGTCTATCACTAACGGAAGTTGGTCATAAGCACGTGATTGCATTAAATTGATATGACCACTCGCTGACAATGAGACTGCTCATTGAATTAAACACAACCAAAATTAATAACTCAAAGTGACAAAATATGAATATTGTCTTATTGATAATGGTTTATTAAATTTATGATTTCGTAAAAATAATAGCTTTCGAAATAAATAATGAAAGGGTAGAGTGTGCACACATCTTACATCTACCTTCTCAAATAAAAAAATTATTTTTGAAAGATTTTTTTCTTGTCTTACCTCTACCTTCTCAGATAAAAATATTATTTTTGAAAGATCAGTTTCTTATCTTACCTCTACCTTCTCAGATAATAATATTAATTTTGAAAGATCCACGGCTCAAAAAAATTTACAATTCGGTAATAGTTTAGATTATAATTATTTTTGTGAATTGTTAATTCTATAATGATTTATGATTTTTCTTGACGGGTAACAGATAATTTGATAATAATTATTATAACTACAATTTTATGCTTAATCGTTAATAACAAGCTCTTATTTAGACGTATTTTTTTCTGAAATTCTGGATAATTTACATGTTTTGCTTTGTTAGATCAATAGTTACATATTAATAATATATAATATATTTTTAGGTTTATCGTAATCTTTTCATTTGTACTTCTGGATATGCATATTTAATTTGGATATTGATGATATATTTAACTTTATAATATATAATATTCTTGATGTTGCATACTGTTGAATTGTCATTTAACTTGATTATGTTTCGATGTTTATTTTAATAAAAAAAAATTAATAGTTAATTGACAATCAATACATTAATAACCCATATCCTAATTTTTCTATAATGATTTAGTATATTTATAAATTAATAAATCGAACTAATATATGAGGTGAATATTAATTGTGAATACCGTGGATCTTTCAAAATTAATATTATTATCTGAGAAGGTAGAGGTAAGATAAGAAATTGATCTTTCAAAAATAATATTTTTATCTGAGAAGGTAGAGGTAAGACAAGAAAAAAATCTTTCAAAAATAATTTTTTTATTTGAGAAGGTAGATATAAGATGCGTGCACACTCTATCCTTTCATTATTCATTTCGAAAGCTATTATTTTTACGAAATCATAAATTTAATAAACCATTATCAATAAGTCAATATTCATATTTTGTCACTTTGAGTTATTAATTTTGATTGTGTTTAATTCAATGAGCAGTCTCATTGTCAGCGAGTGGTCATATCAATTTAATGCAATCACGTGCATATGATCAACTTCCGTTAGTGATAGACGGAAAATATTTTAAAGACTAAAGCTGTACCATTTTTACAAAGAAGAAGGATCATTAGTGCTCCATATGAAAGGATAAGGATCATTTTGAGTTTTAAGGCAAAGATAAGGGACAATTTTGGTCCTTTTCTCGTTCTAGAGTATATAACACTGTCTGCTATTTCTTTTGAAAGGGAATTAAGAAGCCAGGATGTTACCATGTCATTACACCTGCTCCAAGGCTGCAGATCTGGTGATGTTGGGGCTGGTGAAGGATGTGTTCCAGTGATGAAGCCCAGTTTGTTCTTTGCAGAGAGTGCTATGAGCACTGATCTCTTCCATCCCTGATAACCTCTTCCATCAAAAGTGCTGCCTACCAACCCCATTCCAGGAGAGTCTGAAGAGTGCAAATAGAAGGCATGATTGATATCAATCTTAGTTCCTGAGGATGATCCTGCTGCCAGAGTTGCAGGCGTTGATTCAGAAACATTGATAGCTTCGTTATTCATGATTGTATTTGATTAATGTGATTAATTACTGCTCTGATACCATGTAGGATTTACAAGAAACAGTAAAGAGAACGTTTGGGAATTTTCTGTATATTGATCTCGTCCTCTAAACATGTATATATACAGCTACAAGGAAAACCAAAGAACATTCTATTCCTAACAAACTATACAGGTGTCCTGCTCCTATTTGCTAAGTCTATAACAAACTTTTATTCTTCACAATAACTGAGAAAGGGTAAAATAGGTAATCTAAGTGACATAATTCTAGATATCCAAAATATATACATGGGCTGAGGAGATACATTGACTTCATTCCTTTGGGCCTATAATGTCTTCTGTTGTCAAAGAGTGCCTGAGGCCCAATTCGCTTAGGCCCATTTTTCCTTGGTAGTACCATTCGTGTGCTTTGAAATACTTCGACGATTCCTAGGGTTCTCTGTTTTCACCTTCGTCTTTATTTCTGCATTTCTCTATCGAAGGTATCTTTGAAATCTTAACAGTTTCTGGGTTGAGAGAAACTTACCTGATTCCGCCGAGAATATTTTGACATTGATACTTGTGTTATCTTTTGTTTGTTGGTGTTCAGAATTGACACCCTGTTCTTTTTTGAAAGCTGGTGGCTTCCCCTTCTTCGTGAATGATACTGTTTGCCAGACATTGGTAATGGGGTGCTTCTCTTGGTTGACAGAGTCATCTTTTTGTCATTTTTCCGTTGTGGGGGCTGATGTAAATTGACATTTCCTTGAACATGTCCTAGTCGTCCACAATTTTTACATAGGAAGCCTTCTCCCTCATATTTTATCGCTTGTGTGTGAGATCCTATTTGTATACGATTGGTGACTGGAACATTCATGGGCACCTCCACACATAAGCGTGCATATCTTCCCCTGAGTGTAGCACTCGTACAAGCATCGACCTTTAATAATTTTCCTATTGCCCCTCCAATTTTTTTCAACATAAAATTCAGTTGGGAGTTGAGGAAGCCTTACCCAAACAACCGAATGTGTCAGTTTTGCTTCTTCAGGTATGAAGTTTGGGGTAATGGCCGTTTACAAACCAGGGGGCTTTTTGTAGTGCATTCACCATATTCTCCTATTTAGAGAACTTAACGATATAGTATTCCGAGCCCAAATCGATGAGAAGGAAATTCTCAGATGATTTCCAGAGGTCCTGAATTTTTGTTTTTAGGTAGCAGTGGACTATCCTTTTTTCCCATCAGCTTGACAATTAGAGAGAATTTCCATGGGGCATGAAGTTAATTCCACTAATTTGTATGTCAGTCTCCTCCTCCAAGCTGATTTGAGCTTTTTGCAGTTGTTCTGCCTCATAAATATTCATATTTATATCTATTATTAGCTCATTTGCCAACAACTTATCTTTAAAACTAGGCTCAGGGGGGATGCAATTAATGTCATTCATTTGGGTATCCATACCTGGGTTAGAAGCAGTCTGGGATTAGTGAGAAGTTGGAGAGAAAAATCGACACAAAGTCTTTTTAGTAAAGATTTTTACAAGCATAACATTTTTTATATAAAAGGAACCAACTGATTTTGTATTATTTGCACCATCAAAATAGTAGTAGTAAAACATAATGAGCCTTCAAGATTTATCCTCAACGGTTATGGAGTTATGGCATAATGCATTTAGAATTTTTTTTTAATTGTTATCAAATTGATAACCCCATAATAATAAAAGCAGAGTCCTTATCGAATTGTTAACTAATAATTCATTATTCATAAACTAATAATACTTTTTTCTATTTAAATTATCAAATTTGATTCAATTTTGAACAACCTAATTCTTATCAACTCAATCAATCATACAAAGACCTTTATGTCGATTCTAATAGGTCTGTTTGTCTTTTACTAACCTAAAATAAAAAGATTAACTGAGATTATTAAAAGTTTAAAACTATACAGGTTCTTCAAAATATGCATGATGTTTTATATTTTTTTTATATAAATATATAAGTAAGTTTTTTTAGAATTAAAAAAATAGTAAGTACTAAACTTTATTATAGCTTATGATTAGCTGACCTTGTGGCTTGTATATACATCCAGGTTCGTTTAGTGCGCAGATAAAATAGGATATTAAATTATTTGATTAACAATATAAATTTTATTTTAGATTCAATTATCGAATATTTCATTTTATCTTATTCGATTTGAAATTATTTTATTTCATCTCTTACAATAGGATAAGTTAGTTTAGAAATTACAATTTCATGACTATAATTTAATCCACATATTCAGAGTTTATTTGATGTACAAAGAAATAGCTTATCTCGAGATTAATTTTAGAATATGTTTATCACAAATTTAGTTGAGATAAAATCATATGATAACTTATTTGAAATTAGTTATTTTAAACACTAAGATAAAATAATAATCTTGAGATAGTTAGTCTTGCGATAATTTGTTTTCAACCGAACGAGGTGTCACACAGACATACATTCCTGTACCTAGACATATAATACCCCGTCCCAACCAAAACCGCCCCCTACTAATTTTATTAATTACTTATAAAATAATTATTTTTATTAGTATGTGTATCTTTTTCTGATTGAGGAGACAGAAATGGTCAGCATATTTGAGTCCTTTTGTTAAGATTTCAGTATCTTTGGGCCAGCAGACATTTTTTGGGGGCACTTTTTGAAGTGGGATTATCTGATACAGTGTTTTGGGGCAAGTTTTCCTCTTTGAAGGTCAAGATGGGGTTGTTGATCTGAATCAAAATTAGTTTTTTTTGGATTCAATGTCATATTTTCTTGAATTCTTGAACTGGGTCTGAGCAATTTCATCTGTATATTTATTATTTTTGTCTTTTTTTCCCTTTTTAATACTTTTTCTTCATCTGGGTGTTGGAGGATTTTGCTCTAAAGGAAGTGTATATATTTGGAATTCCCTTTTTGGGTCTCCATTAGGTCATGTTTGTGCTAATTAGGCAACTTTGGTTCAGTTGTTTTGCTGATAATTTAAGGGTTTGGAAAAAGATCAGATTTTTGGGGTTTGTGTGAGGGGGTTGATTTGAAGTTGGTATCTTGGAGGGGTGGGGGTGGGGGTGGGGGTGGGGTTTGATGATTTTTGAGTTTGATTGTTGGTATTGTTAAACTATGGGATTAGGTGGTGATGGTGTAAAGGGGGAGTCTTGGGATGCAGAGAAATCAAAGGGAAGGAAGAAAAAAGAAGGGGATGAGGAGGAGACTGGCTGCTGGATGAAGTTGAGGTTTATTAGTAGCTGTATTTCCTCAAGATCTAAAGTTGATACCTCCATCAGTGGCATCAGTACTCGCTGTGGTAATTTCGAACTCACATTGAAGAAGCTCCATTGTTTTGTTATGCTTGCAAATTTTAATTGCATTTTTGAATTGGTTTTCGTTGAAGATTGATCCTATCTTATAAAGAATTTTGTCACTTACATTCATAGTTGCTGGGGAATAGAGGTTAGACGGAGAGGGTTTTTGTTGTTGTTGATGTTGTTGGAAATGGTTATTTGAGCCTTAAGAACATGCCTTATTGTTATTAGCTTGAGACTGATTGCTGCTGTGATTTTGAAGTGTTATTCTCCATTTCTTAAGTAGTGAAATGAATTGAGTTTAGTTAAATGGTGTGCGGGTAAATATTTAAAATTTGATGTGGAAAGAAGCTTCCATATGTTTCTTCTTTCTGTAGAAGTTGATGATGTTAACTCAGAGAAACTAATAATGAAGCCAATTTAAAGAAATTCAAGATGGGTAGCTGTATTCTGTAAGAGGCATTATTTCATTTGATAGATCAAAGTAATTTGTTTTTGATACATCTAGAAGAGGTATTACTAGAACAAACCTAGGGAACTTGTGAAGGCTCCTTTTTGCAAGGCCACAGTCATGTCAGGGGAACAATCTTTGTTGCTCAGACTATTCAAAAATGTCAACGTTGCGTGTCGGATTCTCCAAAAGTCATGTTATTTTGGAGAATTTGACACGGGTGTGACATCGAAAGTGAAGAGTACACGCTACTTAGGTAACAATGTTTGTGTTTCTGGATAATGATGTTGACATTAGTGTTGTGCAGATTTATCACATCATTCTTCTTGTTATTGGTATTTTTTTTCCTTATCACTTATGTTTGCTTGTGTCGCAATTTTCTCAAATTACGAATTCAACTCTGATATGTAAAGCTGCAAGATGAACTTAATTTGAGTCAACAATCAATGGCAAGAGATGAATCAATGCTTTGTTTTCTGTAATTCACCCTCACTCTGCTGATATGATTACCAAGTATAAAATTTGATTTAAATGGCAAGGTTATAACTCTTGGGTGAACGAAAAAACTTCCGACAGATTGTGGGATTTGTTAGCACCTCCTTCATTCTTGTCCTTGAGTTTTCATTTTGTCTGAGCCTTGTGAATACCGGATTCTCACCATTTTGTGATTTCAAATTTGCAATCACACACTTGATTTGATAGAATTAATATCTTATTCATTTTCTTTGTGGAGTCACTGACCAAATGTGGCAGCTCTTTTAAGTATGTCTGGTCTTAGATGGGTCATGCCTAGAATACATGTGATCTTGTGGGGTGCTGGAATAACATAGGAGGTATTGTAAGACAAAATAAATGGTGGAATTTCATCCCAAAATACATATGGTGGACTGTGTGGAAAAAAAGAAATGCAAGGTGTTTTGAGGATAGAAGTAGTTTAGTGCAAAAAATCAAGATGAATTTATCTTGTCTTCTGAATTTTGGTGAAAAGAACACCACGCGATGAAGCTGAAATGTCGGTACAATTTTTAGAGGCCTTGTAGGATTAATAGGGATGTTTTTTAATCATTCATTTCTGAATTGAAATTATGGCTGCTAGCACAATTTTTGTGCTGATGAATCTCAAAAAAATATCTTAGCCATTTTCTTTGTTTACTGAAGGAAGAGATGGTAAATTAGATTGTTAATGTCATCTAGTTATAGATTTGAACAACTGATTAAACCTTTATCTACTAATGACGCAAGCACAGACTACACA